CCAGTTGTGTAATGCTGCAAAACATAGAAAAAATATTCCATATTTTTTTATCCAAGCCAGTGTAGTTTATAATTCCAAGAGCATTTGCCAAGGCTTTTACTAAGACAAGTAACTTCCTATACTGTCCATAATAGTATATATTTATCAAACGTTCAGAGTAAATTCTAAACTATGGTAGGTAAGTGTTTGCAATTGAATATTTAGTTCATATTGCTATTTTCTGTCATATATTTTGGGTTATTTCTTTTCCGATGATTTTGAACACCCCCTATATATGCTACCTCAAGTTTGAATATTTCAACACTACCTATTTTCTGAGAAAGCAGACGTTTTTATAAAAAGTAACTAACTGATGTTTTCATAAAAGTTATAATATAAAAAATTCCATACTTACGTGGAGAACTTTAGACCCTGTATATTAAAAAAAATAGTGAAATATTACGTAATCTAATCCGACATTTGTGTGTAAACTGTCTATTTGGAAATAAAATAAAACAGGGTTTAAAATACGCGCCAAATAAAGCACTTCTATCTCCGCCATATTGGAAAAGGTTGAATGGTCTTGTGTGGAGGTGGTGCTGTCTGAACCCTAATACCAGCGTGCGAATCGCCCAGCGCAGCGGCGTAGCATGGTGTCAATACAAAGGAATGTAATAAGTAACTGTAATTAACATTTTACCAACAAAATAAAGTTTTTTCTTTTCTTTATTAAAGTCTTAAGAAGTTACAAAAATAAAATATACAAAAAATGTAACAGGTTAAAAAAAATAATCAAACCAATTTAAAAAAAGTACTAAATTTTAGTAAAAAAAACTGTAAACGTATCTGTTAGATAAAATATTCTTATCGATTTTTATTTGTCACAATAATTACTTTTAAACGAAATATAACTGTTGTGTTGTTTCATAAATATTTGCATGCTACAAAGTTATCTGGGCTAACATGCTCTTATGTAAGTGCATATTTACCTTTATCATGCAAATATCGATTTAAGTCGATTGATTTCTATAAATGTTCCACGTGTGTGGTACGATAGAAGAAAGAAAATTTAAAATGAAAAAGAATAAATGATATAAATAATCTCGACATATCTTTATTAGCGCATCAACGTTTTAAAACTCTAATAAATATCCTGAAAATTACCAATAATTTATATGGTATACAGGGTGTCCCCGACTGAGCGTGCATTCGAAGTTTCTAGAACTACAATATCTAAATCGGAGATTTTTTGCACATCATTATTTCACAACAATATCAATCGATTAAAAGTATTTTCAAAAATGCGGCACTTCCAGAAATACCAGATGTTGACAGCGAGTTTCATATTTTAAATGGGTGCCCCATTTTTTATTACTTATTTAAGTTATCTGTATGGACTTGCAATCAATCGACTGGCTCGTTAAGGATCTGGCCGCTAACGGTGCCCTAAGATTAAGGGAATCCAATCTATGGAACCAGACCAACTACGGTCACTCGAGGATATTGCCAGTGGAAAATCATGGTGAACACGAGTCCACATCTGCTAAACCAGAAAACGGAGAGAGATAAGGATTCGCATCCCGACAGAGAAGAATGGGAAAGCAACCGAGTAATGAACACTCAGGAGATAGCAGTCTACACAGATGCTTCCGCAAATTCACGGGGCACAGGTATAGGCATCTTCTCAGAGGAACTAGACATCCGACGATCTTTAAGGCTATCGGATGGCTCTAATATTCTACAAGCAGAGGTTTACGCCATAAAGGAAGCGGCTAGTTGTATACGAGAGAAAATTGCTGATAGACCAATAGGGGATATAGTGATATACTGTGACAGCTTGGCCGTTTAAGGAAGCATCACCATGCAATCAGTGAGATCGAAAACTGTGATGGAATGCCGAGAAGCACTGTCCTGGCTGCGTTGGGGCGGGGCTACTCTGTGCTGGGTGCCAGGCTATAGCAATGTGGTGGGCAATCAGGAAGCAGACAGACTCGCCAAAGACGGGGCCAGGGGAGAGGCCGTGGCAGACGACCCACCGCTTGTGACGATCAACACACTGAAGGAGGCTACATGATACAATAAGGGTTAGATAAGATCCTTGGCCGTCGCAAATCTGTTCTCCGCGCGCATGACGTCACTGGGGTACGCACTACATGCGTAATATCTTATCTAACCCTCCTTGTATCATGAGGAGGCTATAGGAACTGCCATCAAAGCCAAGCAGCAAGAGACGTAGCAACACCGTGAGGACTGCGCTACAGCTCGAAGACTATGGCCAGTGGTAGATAGCAAAAAGACAAAATAACTACTAGAGCACAAAAAGGACCTAGTACGCATAATTGTAGGTGTCGTCACTGGAAACTGTTCCACGGGGGTAAACCTCGTGAGATGGAAAATTTCCGACGACGACTACTGCAGAGAATGCGGAGAGGAAGAAGAAACCATAGAGCACCTGCTGTACCACTGTCCGGCACTGGAATACCGACGCTTTAAAACTTTAGGGCAAAGTTTTTTGGAGGGACTAGAGGAAGCAGCACAAGCCAACATCAGCGACATCGGGAACTTTGCAAAGAGCTGGAAGTGCTTTAACGCAAAGAAAGAATGAGAGGAAGGTTTGGTAAAACAATACAGGGGTATCGTAATGGGCCCAAGGCCTCCGAGTGAGGGATCAGATCAGATATGATCCCAAACCCCAGCAACCTAACCTAACCTAACCTAAGTTATCTGTAAAATTTTATGAATTTTGATATTAAACACTCTATACCTAACATTAACCATATACCTTCTGAACCTTTTTCCATCCATACTGCAAAAAATCTAACTTGTTATAATCCATTCTTGCATCTAAAGAGCACAAGTTATCACATTTCCAATAATTCATTGTATCTTTGGTTTATCCAAGGGGGTAATTATATTTGGGGGCAAAATAAATTTTCAAAAACAGCATGTACGCCACTGACTTTTTTCTCCTATTAACGAAATAGTCAGCCGTTTAATGCCGATTAAAAGTTGTCTCTTGATATTTTGTCGAGTTCGGGCCTCCTTGATGAGATAAACGCAATTTTATTAATTTGCCTTGATCCAAGTCTAACAGCAACCTTTAAAAAAGTTTAACACAATTTAACATAATTAACTTGCGAAAGTGTTAAATTAGTACTCACTGATTCCTCATTAAAAATAAAAAAAGTTCCTATAAACATTGATATGGAAATGCATAGTTTTAAAGTTACAGTTTTAGTTACTACAGTTTTAAAGGATGTTAAAACTTTTTAAAATTAAGATCTTTTGTAATCGAGTTTGTAATTATCTTAAATACCATTATTTTTATTTGAATTTGCTGTAGGTTTGATTAATAATAATAATAACTGATAGAAATAATACTTAACAATAAATTAGATAAAATAAATAATTTATTAATTTTATTAATCCGGAGTTTAACCATAATTTTTTTATATTGCAAATAATTTATCTTCATACAATTTTATGACACCCGTATTTATTTATTTTACTTCAATTTCATCCCATTTTTTTAAAAAAATTAATCAATAGAAGAATATTAAGAATTTCAAATTTACACTTTTGCAATCCCTGACGTCACCTATCAAAAGTGTCACGGTTTGCCGCCAGGTACAAAGGTAAATAAAAACCATTTTTCTAAATGTATTTTAAAGTAGATATAAAATTAATTGTAAAATAAAACTTAATTGTTGTCTTGCCGCTTCAAACCAGGCTTTTCGACGGCTTTCATCCAAAGGAACAGTTTAAATTTTTTTTCTGGACAGCCTTCAGAGTTATTTAGACAGCCCTTCACAAAACAAACTTTAACACCCTTTATTCCAAAAATAATAAAGTGGGTACAATAAAACAAAATTGAAAACTCAAAGTATTTAACGCCAAACACAAAATCCACAAAATACAAATCTAACCTCGAACGCCTCGAACATCCGGACAACTTTGGTAGTGTTTAGTGCTTCAATAAAAATGGCAGTAAACTGTTAATTATAAAAATTTAAGTTTTAATTTCTAGTAGTAAAAAACCTAAAAGTTAATATTGGGGTAATAAATAATCCCACACAAAAACGTATTTTTTAACGATCTTAATAAAAATAGAAAAATCTAACGTGATTTTAAGATATATGGTGTAAATACGGTAGCAAAGAACTAGACACGCCATAATATTATTCTTTAGAGGCTCGCGCCCTCTGTCAACTATTCAGTCAAATACTAATAGGTGACGTCACAATTTTCTACGCGTCATTTCAAACCAGTGAAATTTGTATTGAATTTGATTTATTATTTATTCCTTAATTGTAACTTCGTTCCATTTATTTTTGTATTAAGGGAGTACTTTTTAATCACTTCAATTGAATTTTATATTAAAAATAACAAAAATTTACTATGGTTAATCACCGGATTGCGTTTATCTCACCAAGGAGATCGAAATCGACAAAATACCAAGATACAGCTTTTAATTGGCGTTAAACGGCCTATATAATTTTGCTATTAAAAGAAAAAAGTCAGTGGCGCACATGGTGAAATTGTCGAAACTTTTTAGTACTAAAATATGTAACACGTATAGTAACTTTTACCCTCAAAATTTTATTGGAATCGCTAAAAGCATTACACAAAATTAAGAAAATTATAATAAATCGAAAAATAATGAAGACTTCAAGCCCTTGTAGCTACGAAACAAAGCAGAATCGGACCCTATGTTGATATGAAACATAAATATTATTTTTACGTGAGGAATCTCACACACATGCTTTTTGAAACACCCTGTATACATACATATCCATTGTTGGCTGATACTAGCTACCATTATAATTAAAGGCGTTCATGTAGGTCTGCTACCATGAAACATTTAAGCTTCTTCTCTGTATGCATGTATAAATAAGTAATTCTTTGTCACTGAGACGCCCTGTATAGGCGCTAAAAGCCAGACATCTTTATCGATGAAGTAGCAAACGATCCCTCACTCAAAATAAATAAAAGGCTTTACGAAATTGTCGGTATAATACCTTCATTTTACCGACAGCTGGTGTCCTTCCTTTACCATATGATCGCAGTATACGGTTGTTCCTTTCGGCGGTTAGATACGTTTATTTGGGCAGTGAAAAATATAGTGTACAGTTAAAATATCATTTGTAAAATACAGGGTGTTTCAATAAACATGTGCCATCTCTCTTAGGGAGATTCCTCAGGTAAAAATAAAATTTATTTTTCTTATCAACATAGGTCCGATTCTGCTTTGTTTCAGGGTGTTAAAGTCTTAATAATCTTTCGATTTATTATTACACACAATTAATAAAATTAAAATAAAATAAAATTAATAAATTATATATTTTAACTAATTTATTATTAAGTATTATTACTATTAGTCCAACCTACAGCAATTTCAAATAAAAAAATAATGATATTTAAGATAATTAACAACTAAAACTATGTTTATAGGAACTTTTTTTCATATTTTTTTATGTGAAATCAAAGAATACTTATTTAAAAATTTCGCGAGTTAATTATATTATTTTTTTTAAACGTTGCTGTTAGACTTGGATCAAGGGAAAATAATAAAATTGCGTTTATCTTATCAAGCAGGTCGAAATTCACAAAATATCAAGAGACAACTTTTAATCGGCAATAAACTGCTTACACCATAGGCTTAAAATAAAATATAGACTGAGCATCTGATTCATAAATAGCTGGAAGATGCGGTCAGACAATGTCTTGTTATTGTTTTAGGCTCTAACAAGTGCGACACGAGCGATAGATAGGTTGTCTCCGTCGTAACGGTCGTTCCCTGACGACTCTGACGAGGAATGCAACACTGTCTTTCGTTTCTCAGTACACCTGAACTCTCCGTACCATAGCCGGGTATTTTTTTAATTTTAATGAAGCTATAATTCAATTAAAAATATATCGTATTTAACTTTTTTGTATTTTATTAAGATTTAGGAGAGGTTTTTTAAATAAAAGTTTAGAAAAAAAAACGTCCAAAAGCGATAAAAATAATAAAATACATGTTATAGAAAAACATTTAATATAATCGAAATTACCTATTTAATTCTTGAAATTAATAAGGATCTATTCTATAGATATAATAGAATCGGCGACATGGAAAGAGAAAAAACTTTATGATTGTTGTAATTTTTTTTTCTGGTAAGTGATGTTTTATTATGTAAATTAGAGAAAACAGAGATCTGTTTCATTAAAGCAAGCTTTTAGGAAGTGGATAAAATGAAAACTACATTTATTTAACCCGGTACTGTCTTTATTATACCGGCTGCGTCCTAAAAGTGGCTCACCCCCATAATTTTTTTATTTTTTCTAATAAAAAAACAAGATTTGGTATGTTAGTATATGACATAAATTAGGATTGATTGACGCATTCAATTGTTTTGGTCACTTCCTGTTTCACCGGAAATAACTATAACTTCTGATTTTTAAATGGCACCCTAGGTGTATATCTACTTTATTCGATAGAAAATGACACTCTGAATAGAATGACATATCATCCAAGTATCAATATATTCATAAAAAAATGTTTTTTCGAAATATGCTAACCTTGTTCCATTTAAAAAAAATGATATATGATTAAAAATACGATTTGTGCATCTTTTAACCGGCCTAGACAAGACACGAAAAACATTAGACGATCAAAACTATATTTCCAATGCTCCTTGATTAAAACTTAATGTTTTTAACACCGCCGTGGCACCCTGGATTGAAATTTATAATACGATTTGTTTTTAAGCGACAATGTCAAAAGTTGACATATGATATGTCATTCTATTCAGAGTGTCATTTTCTATCGAATAAAGTAGCAATATACCGAGGGTGCCATTTAAAAATCAAAAGTTTTAGTCATTTCCGGTGAAACAGGAAATAACCGAAAACAATTGAATGCGTCAGTCAATCCTAATTTATGTCATATACTAACATACAAATCTGTTTTTTTATCTGAAAAAATAATAGAAAGTCATAGGGGTGACTTTTGAGACGCACCCGGTATATTAAAAAATATTGTTTCATAATGTAATATAATTTTAAAATTCTTGTATGTTATTTTAGATTCTGAAGATAGTTTTAGGATAAACTGGAATATATTTTTAATAAAAACATGAATGATTTTTTAACCGATGCCTAATATAATTTATCTTGTATAATAACGGGGTTATAATTATGATTTTGTTACAAAAATTTTTATATAAATGATTATGTAATAGAAAAAATTCAGATTTTACATTTTACTAAAATATGATCTAAATAAGCGCCTTTCTACAACAACGCCACTGACTCCCAATTGGTAAATTGAGAGTTGCCTACCGGTCGAAACTCGTTTCGAGACTCAAATGGATCATTTAAGTCAAATTTCTTGCAAATTTGGCACTGGCAAACCATATATATAAAGTAGTATAAGGACTATTTAATACATCTATGGAATATTAAAACCTACTTTATTAAAATGCAGTATTAATATCTCAATATATGTGTATAATAAGTAAAAAGATATTGATAATATTAAAGACGTGACAACATAGGCTGGACGAGGAAGGTATGGTTGGCTGCGGTCGAGTGTAACCAGAAGTTAAATTTTGTTTGTAGAAAACTGTTTTCTTTTAAATTTATTGCCCTCTATTATGTAGTAGCGAAACTAGCACATCAAAATATCTGATTTGGAGATAGACTTTTAAAGCCTGTCTCCTTTTGCTACCTACAATTTTATACATGTAACGAGGCTTCTGTTGCGTAGCTAGATATTCTGTGCTTACAGCCTTGAAAATATATATACAAGGCTTACACTATTTCGCTAACAAAAGAAAAAAAGTCAGTGGCGTACATGCCTTTTTTAGAAAAATATTCCAGTGATAACCCATATGCCCATCCCTGGTGAATATGTCGACACTTTTTTAGCTTTAAAATATGTCGCATTTATAGTAACTTTTCACCTCAAAATTTCATTCAAAATGCTACAAGTACTTGGAAGAGAATTATAATAAATCAAAAAATATTAGTACTTAACACCCTGTATCTACGAAACAAAGCAGAATCTGACCTATGTTGATATGAAAAATATATCTTATTTTTACGTGAGGAATCTCCCCACGAAAGATAACACATGTTTTTTGAAACACCCTGTATAACACGGGTAGGATAATATAGGTACATTTATTTTAATTATATTGATCTAAATCATAAAGTAATTAAAATTAACACATTTTATCTAAAAAAATACAGTATGCTCATAAAAAAATAATTGAGAGTTGACATTACTATACAGGGTCCGGCAATAGTGCGTCGGGCATCTGTAGCTCCAAGAATAAAAATTTTGAGAATTTTGTTCAAGTGCAAACCTAAAGTATGTACCAGGATGTATTTCAGGAAAATATTTTAACTTCTATAGGGTGACTCAAAAAAGTGTGACTGGATCTGGATGATTTTTTTTAATGGAACACCTTGTATATTATTGAATTTTGGCTTTTTTCAGATCACTTTACATAATCCTAAGATATTAGTAAATATATTTCGATAGTTTCAGGGATATTAATAAATAAATCAAAAGTATATATTTTTCAGCCCTTCTTAAAAAATTATTAAAAATACAAGAATTGTTCTGAAATCAAAACTATATTAGGTATTTACTTTAGATGGTCTGTTCTTACTTTGCTATAAATATGGTAATCGTAAATCATACCGCATGTTCAAAATTCTACGCCAAACTTTCTAAAATATAAAATAATTTTTCGTTGTTTTTTTTTAATGGGACACTCTGCATATTATTATTTTATTAGAGGAAGGATTGTAGTTAGGAAAGTTAAAAAATGAACATTTTTTATTTTCAAAAGTATTTACGTAGTATTATTTCATATGGCGCTTTCAATGGTAAAATACGAAAGAAAAATCATTAGGTGGGTTGCTTTGATAAAAATTTACTGTCGAAAATGCCATATAAAATATAAAAACGCGAATATCTGCGAAAATGTAAAAATCTTTTAAATACCCTAAATACAAAAAAATGTCCATTTTTTAATTCCCCGTCTATTAAACAAATAATATACAGGGTGTTCCATTAAAAATAAACAAGAAAAATTATTTAGATTTTAGAAAGCTTGGCGTAGAATTTTGAACATCCTGTATGATTTCCATATTTATAGTAAAGTAAGACCATCTAAAGTAAATACCTAATATAGTTTTGATTTCAGGACAGTTCTTGTATTTTTATTATTTTTTTAAGAAAGCCTAAAAATATACAGGGTGGCGCACCTCATTCGCCTCGGCTGATTATATGAAAACGGAAAGATGCAGAAACAAAACATTTTATGGGTATATGCGGGGAGACAATGTGCACAATTTAAAATTATTTTGAAATATACAGGGTGTTTTAGAACGAAGATCCATACCAAAGTTATATTTTTTCTTATGGAACACCCGGTATTTTATTTCATTTTTGGATTCTTGGGCCCAAAAGAAGTCATTTATTATAAGGGTTAAATATGTTTAAAATCTTTGGTTTTTGAGATATTTAAAGATAATTAAATTTGCAAGCTACAATAGAATAGATTATTAACACCCTGAACATTACTTTTCAGAATTAATTTTTGTGCTGAGTTTAAAGGTAGAGAAATAAACTTCACTGGAAAATGTTATTGCTTCCTTAAATTTATACAGAGGTATCAAAAATTGCTGATAGATTTTAAGGATTTATTTTATATAAAACTTGCAACACCCTATATTTTTTTAAATAAACCGAAGTAGATTCAAATGCTCTTTCAAACTATATTAGGGTTGCCTATACCTATCTAGCCCAGATTTTGAATAAAAAGCGATTTTTAAATAAAATTGCAATCAAGATGGCTCGTGTCGCAATTGCAATTTTCTAGTGACAGTAACTATTAGTTTTCAAAGTTGACATTAGTTTATGGACATTATTATTCATAATTTATAACAATTTACTTAGATTTACCTAAAATATAAATCTTCCTGATAAGCGTTCCTTTGAAAAACTACTTTGCAGTCCTATTTCGCAGAGCTGATAGTGTGGTTTATAAAAAAAACTATTAGGCAGAAATCTGTCATTGGAAGTCAACAAAATGTAAGAAAATGAATTTGCCGTAATTGTCTCTATTATAGAAAATCCATATTCTACAAATCATCGTAAAATAAATCAAAGCCAAACCAACCTACTTCTTCGTTTTTTCTAATAGAATAATAAATACATATTTAATAAATATTATTTATTAAACTATTGTAGGTAAATTAAATAAAAGTAAACCGTTATAAATTTAAATAAGCCCATAAACTAATTTCGATTTTGAAAATAGCTACTAACTGTCACTAGATACTTGCCATGACGACATTAGCCCTCTTGGTTGCCATTTTATTGAAAAATTGTTCTTTATTCAAAATCTGAGCTAGATAGGTATAGGAAACCCTAATACAGTTTGAAAGAGCATTTGAATCTGCTTAAAAAATACAGGGTGTTGTATTTGAAATAAATCCTTAAAATAGATCAGCAATTTTTGATACCCCTGTATAAATTTAAGGAAGCAATAACATTTTCCAGTAAAGTTTATTTCTCTGCCTTTAAATTCAGCACAAGAATTAATTCTGAAAAGTAAAGAACAGGGTGTTAATTATCTATTCTAAAGTATATAGCATGCAAATTTAAATATATTTAAATATCCCAAAAACCAATGATTTTAAAAATATTTAACCTTTATAATAAATGGCTTTTTTTGGGCCCAGGAATCCAAAAATGAAATAAAATACCGGGTGTTCCATAAAAAATATAACTTTGGTATGTATCTTAGTTCTGAAGCACCCTGTATATTTCAAAATAATTTTAAATTGTGCATATTACCTCCTCACATATACCCATAAAATATTTTGTTTCTACATCTTTCCGTTTTCGTATAATCAACCGAGGCGAATGAGGTGCGTCACCCTGTATATATTTTTTATTTATTTATTAATATCTCTGAAACTATCGAAATATATTTACTCATATCTTATATTCTGGATTATATAAAGTGATCCGAAAGGAAGCCAAAAATGCAATATTATACTGGGTGTTCCATTGAAAAAATTTATCCTCATCCACTCACACTTTTTGAGCCACCCTATAGAAGTAAAAATCTTTTCCTGAAATACATTCTAATATATACTGTAGGTATGCACTTAAACAAAATTCCCAAGTGTTTTATTCTAGGAGCTACAGATATGCCCGACGCACTATTGCCGGACCCTGTATTTCGTTGCCTATTTATTTTTTTATGAAAAATAAAAATCTTGTAAAATAATCATGTAAATTACTCTAGTAAAAGGCAACAAACTAAAACAATGTCCAATCTAAAATGCGATTTAAAGGTTAAGCTTTGTTAATAAGTACGCATATTAATAATACTCTTTTTAAGCATACGAGTATACAGGGTTATTCACCACATACGACACGGAGTATTGTAGCTAAACGATTAGATTTTTACAAATTGTAAGTTTTGGGTTCATTGAAGGTTTTAATTTTTTTTTCTCTCTATGATTGAAGAACTATTAGACCTACAATTTAAAAATATTTTTACAAGATACAGAGTGTCCCAAATAAATAAAAATATTATAGTTGTATTTTTTTAAACGGAACACCCTGTATATTATTCTATTTTTAGATTTACGATTGAAATAAAGTTAAATTTGATTAAGGTTTATCACACATCACACTTAAACCTTGGCATTTTTTAAATATTTTCAATTTTGTGAAATTGCATTAAAAATTTTAAAGCTTTATTTCTTCAAGGGTATTAAAGTTTTTAATACTAAATATTATTTACTGAAGTTTATTTATTGATCAAGATATTGTGTTGCAATAATAAATATAATACTACCTTACACAGAGTGTCTATAAATTTATTTTAAATAATTACTAGCTTTAAACGGCAATAATTTGTTTAATTTAAATGGAACACTCTGTATATTTACGAGAATCAGATGTATAATTTAATTGTCTATCAAATTGTATTATACCATTTTTAACCTTTCTTTTCAAGTTTTTGTTGAAAATGCATTTTCTTCTAATTTAGACCTGATTTATCAATATACCCATACGCATGGAATATTGACATTTTAGATTTTTTTAAACCAACAAATGTACAAAATGTACAGGTGCTAAAAAAAGATAATATTGCAAGCCCATTTGTTTACAAAAAGAAAATTATTTAAATTTTTATAAAAGAGTATACCAAAATTATTTCCTCCCAAAAATTAGTTAATTACATACTTAATTGTTTTAGTTAATAAATTATTCTAAATAAATGTGGATTTGAATCAGAAATCAATATATTAATAAATTATGAAAATGAACATATATCTGTTTGTTATAAATAAACATTCGTCAAAATATTAAATAAAAAAATAAAATTTATATGGTGTTACTTTTTACCACACTGTTTAATACACATACAAAATTCAGTTTTTTAATATTTGGAGCAATTATTATTAATCAAAGCAAACAGCCAATTAATGTATGTAGTTTGAATACTAAGATCATAGTATAATTGGTCCTCTTTAACTAATATTTAAACAATTTTTTTTTATTTTTTAATGAAATAAGCGAATTAAATCGACAATATTAGTATCTGTACTCTTTGAAAATTAGTTACATCTTTAAAAATAATCTAAAATAAATCCATTATTCCATGGGTATATTGATAGACGAGGTCTAAATGTTAAGAAAATGTATTTTCTTCGAAAACTTGAAGAGATAGGTAAAAAATGGTATAATACAATTTGATAGACAATTTATTTGTGCATCTGATTCTCGTAAAATCTATAGGGTGTTCCATTTAAATTAAGTTATTACCGTTTAAAGCTAGTAATTATTTAAAATAATTTTTATTTAGTTGGGACACTCTGTATCTTGTAAAAATATTTTTAAATTATAGCTATGATAGTCCTCCAACGAACCAAAAACTTACGATTTGTAAAAATCTAATCGTTTAGCTACAATACCCCGTGTCGTATGTGGTGAATAACCCTGTATATCAGAATTAACAAAGTTATGAGTAACTTTTTTCTGACTCCTAACTCTAGCCGACAATCAGCAGTTTTAATCTTGATTAAATAATAAATAATAATTGAACGTATCGAAATAAATTAAAATATTATGTGAATTTGAAACAAAAGTCGATAATATTGTCATTTTGGTGAGAAGGGTGAGATCCTTGTGTGAGATGAATCATTCGGCCTATACATAACTAAATACAAAATAACATAGTAAAAATATGCCAAATTAATAAAAAAATATACAAAAAATACCTTATTTTTAAATATTAATTTGTTAGATGTTTCTAAGAAATTTCAAGGCCTATATGTTATTTATGACAGAAGTGACTAAATTTGAGTAGTTTTTTTTTCGCGTCCTAGTGATCGAAAGCAATTGATTGGTGTTATCAGTGCCGCCACTTTTGAAATTCACGTGCGCAATCGAGTACATAAACATTTCGTTACAACCGTTAAACGTTTCGTCGCCTGATATACCCTAGTGTGAATTATTATAAGTTCTATAGCATAATAACATACCGTACAATTAGTTCGAATATCGCGTGAACATGCAGAATCATTGTGGAAAATGCAGCCAAAAATCAAAACAAGAAAACCATGACGATCCTGATGAAGAATATGCTGAAGGCACCAGGTATTTGTTTGCACCAAGTTGTTTTATAACATTATTTGGGTAGAGAAAGTAGATATAATCTATCATAGAATCTATCTGAAAAATGATAGAAAGACAATCAAATTTTTGACTACAATGTCTTTAACTGTCATTGTCGTTTATTTTTTAGATGTATACAGGGTTATTCACCACATACGACACGGAGTATTGTAGCTAAACGAATAGATTTTTACAAATTGTAAGTTTTGGGTTCGTTGAAGGACTATTAGAGCTACAATTTGAAAATATTTTTACAAGATACAGAGTGTCCCAAATAAGTAAAAAATATTATAGCTGTATATTATTATATTTTTAGATTCTACGATTAAAATAAAGGTAAATTTGATTAAGGTTTATCACACTTAAACCTTACCGTTTTTTAAATATTTTTAATTTTATGAAATTGCAGTAAAAATTTTAAGGTTTCATTTCTCCAAGGGTATCGAAGTTTTTAATACTAAATAATTACTGAAGTTTATTTATTGATCAGATATTGTGTTGCAATAATAAACAAAATACTACCTTATACAGGATGTCTACAAATTTATATTAAATAATTACTAGCTTTTAAACGGCAATAACTTGTTTAATTTAAATGGGACACCCTGTATATTTTACGGGAATCAGATGCACAATTTAATTGTCTATCAAATTGTATTATACCATTTTTTACCTATCTCTTCAAGTTTTCGTAGAAGTAACACTTTCTTATAATTTAGACCTCATTTATCACTATACCCATGGAATATTTACATTTTAGATTATTTTTAGAGTACCAGATACTAATATTGTCGATATAATTCGCTTATTTCATTAAAAAAAATATGAAAAACTGTTTAAATATTTGTTAAATAGCACCAATTAATATGATCCCAGTATTTAAACTACATTAATTGATTGTTTACGTTGATTGATAATAATTCCTCCCAATACTAAAAAACTACAACTGAATTTTGTATGTGTATTAGACAGTGTGGTAAAAAGTAACACTTTATAAATTTTATTTCATTTTTTGACGAATGCTTATTTATAACAACAGAGATGTTCATTTTCATAACTTATTATTGTATTGATTTCTGAGTCAAATTCACATATATTTAGAATAATTTATTAATTAAAACGTAAGTTAATTAAGTATGTAATTAACTAATTGTTAGGCGGAAATAATAGGCAGAGTATATTAATAATTAGTAATAATTAGAATACTCTTTTACAAAGATTTTAATAGTTTTCTTTTTGTAAACAAATGGGCTTGCAATATTATTTTTATCACCTGTCTATTTTGTACATATGTTGCTTTAAAAAAATCTAAAATGTCAATATTCCATGGGTATAGTGGTAAATGAGGTTTAAATAATAAGAAAATGCATTTTCTACGAAAACTTGAAGAAATAGGTAAAAAATGGCATAATACAATTTGATAGAAAATTAAATTGTGCATCTGATTCACGTAAAATATACAGGTTGTTCCATTTAAATTAAACAAGTTATTGCCGTTGAAAGGTAGTAATTATTTAATATAATTTTTTGAACACTCTGTATAAGGTAGTATCATTTTTATTATTGCAACATAATATCTGATCCATAAAGAATCTTCAGTAAAAATTTAGTATTAAAACCTTTAATATCATTGGAGAAATAAAGCCTTAAATTTTTTAATGCAATTTCGCAAAATTGAAGATATTTCTAAAACGGTAAGGTTTAAGTGCGATAAACCTTAATCAAATTTACCTTTATTTCAGTAGTATAATCTAAAAATAGAATAATATACAGGGTGTTCAATTTAAAAAAATACAACTATAATATGTTTTACATATTTGAGACACTCTGTATCTTGTAAAATTATTTTTAAATTGTAGCTCTAATAGTCCTTCAACGAACCCAAAACTTACAATTTGTAAAATTCTAATCGTTTAGCTATAAAACTCCGTGTCGTATGTGGTGAACAACCCTGTAGAGTTATACACGGTCTTCCTTAATGATCATAAGAAAGAAAAAAAACTTTACATAATTATGCGGAGGGGGTTAATCTTCTTATCTTGTTCTTGTTATATTATATAAAAAAAATAACCCCATCCGCAAAGAAGTTATATAAAGACTATATTTATAACTACCAATATATAGTTGCGAAAGAGTTTTGATTATTTAATAAATATTTAATTTAATCATATCGCGAAATGAGTATTTATTTCGCTCAATGGGAGAATTCGGCATATGAGTCTAACAGATGCATAAACGACAGTAATGATCATTCTTCTTGTGTAGGTACCTAATGGGTATAATAAAGAAATTGGGATATACATACTCGTATACCCAGAAGGTATAGGGTAAATCCCCATCGAGAGATTCTTTCGTCGGGTAACCCCCTTGTAAAATTCGATTATTCACCTAACATAAATTGAACTGTCTGCGTTGTGCTGTATTTTCGATACAATTAAGGCTATTGTGCAGATAAGATAAGTAAGATAACAATAAATTCTTGCTAAAATTTGTTATTTAGACTATAGAATGAGTGGGAGGGGGATTAATCACTGCGATCTTACAGATCTATTGTGTCCTCCTTTCTTGAGTTGTAACTCATCATACAGTCTCAGGGCTTTGACAGAAACCAGTATCTGGGACGGTTTTATAGAGGGTAGTTCTCCATCTCCAATATCAGTCGTACCAAAGTTCATGGCACGAATGGTTATCATCTCGGCGCACTCAGTGATGAGGTATACTGGTGTTTCCCCATTTTCCCCACAGAATCTGCATTCGCCGTTTCTTCTTAGTTTCAATCTACTGAGGTGTTCATTGAGGAGACAGTGTCCTGTTAAAAACCCCGTGCCAATCCGAAGATTGTTCTTCCTTAAATCCAGGAAGATTTTTCTTGATCTTAAGCCCTCAGAAACTTCTTCGAGTGTCTTAGAACATTGCATCCCATTCCAGATTGCGAATTGAGTCTTCCAAGTTCTTGAGTTCCGCCTTGAGTTGGTTACCACTTGGAAAGCAGAACGGATCTGGTCCAGTTAGTGGAGTGTTCGCTCCTTTTCTAGCTAGATCATTTGCTTTTTTATTGCCTTCTATCCCTTGGTGACCAGGCACCCAGAGTAGGAGCACTTTGTTTTCTTTGCCTAATTTATTCAGCTTCTCTATGCATTATTTGGCCAATTTCGAATTGATTGATACTGAATTGATCGCTTTTAACGCTGCTTGACTATCAGATAAGATGGCTATTTCTTGTTTCCGTTGGTTCCTATCTAAGTTAAGTAGTACGCATCTTTCGATAGCGTAGATTTCTGCCTGTAGGATGCTAGGGTAGGTGCCCATTGGTTCGGAGTATTTAGTTCTCGACCCAAATACTCCGATCCCTGTACCCGCATTGGTTTTGGAAGCATCAGTATACCAAGTTATGGTATGGTCTTTTAACTGCTGGGCAGACGTTTCTCTCTTCCAATCCTTTTTATTGCTTAATACCACATTGAGATGTTTCTCAAAGTTGTACGTTCTTGGCATATCATCTACTGGGAGTTGCAGGAGTGGTATTTCCTTTTTGAGGGTGTTCCAAGCCCCTGATCTGACAATTCTTCCAGTACTGATTCCGTTAGTGACCATTGTAATCATTGTCGCATTGACATATCTACCAATCACAATGTGCAGTGGTGTTAGATCTAGAATGACCTCCATTGCTGCTGTTGGGCCCACCATTAATTATTTTGTTATAGTACATTAAATTTACAAAATAAACATATATTTGATACCGATTAAACTATTAGTTACGTAATCGAGGGCGCGATTTTTAATTTCCATCCATGGAGATTTTCGACGCCTGGTTGAAGTTGCCACATTTATTTATTTATTTCCTGATACTGTCATTCGTTTTGACTTTTTAGTTTTCTATTACGAGTTTATGGTTTAAATTAATTATTTTATGATACTTTAAGCTTAAAATTTTTTACTAGCCGACCTTGCAGTCGAACATTGTTCTTTTTAGAACCTCTTTTAGTCCGAAGTGTACAAAATAGCTTAATAGCCGTAAAAAAACTCATCGCAAATTTATTAGAATAAATTTGAATGGGAAAGCGGTAGTATTGCCCTTTATGTCTAAGTGCTGTTAAGAAGGTGAGTTTTGTTGATGTAAATAATAACTTCTTATATATTTATAACTAATTTATTTTTGTTTCCTAAAATATTTTGATTAAAAGAAAATATGTAAAAGTGGGCAACGCTGTGCCGGTCAAGCTAATCGCGTGACTAAAAGTTTACTTGATATGATCTATACATACATTCTTTCCATTAAAAACTATACCGATCTGGCCATCGAAATTGCGTGGTCTGGATTTTAACGTGTAAGACATAGGGTTGCCACAAGAAAATTTTTGATTGTGCAGAAGTTGACCACAAAAATGTGTAGCATTGTAGTAAACTATCCAATAAGATGTACGTTCGCCAAATTTTAAAGCATGATTACGAGTCTCACTTGCACTCGTTTGTATACGCCATTATATTAATTTTCCATTTCATTTCCTCTCATGCCAGCAAGGATTGCAGTGACGTCAAAATTGATGCCGCGAAACTAACGATTTTATGGACAAATTAGAATGGTTAATTCTGTTTAAAAACTGTAAACTATTCAGGGCTGTTTGATCGGCCAAATTTGTCCATAGAAACTGCAGTCATTGCTGACATGGAAGGAAGTGAAATAGGAATTGAATACTATTCACGTATGCAAACGAGTGGAAACAAGACTGTGAACTACAGTGACGTTATTGAACAGTGAAATTTGATCAAAGTACGTATTATGTATTATCCCTGTTTATATCATATACAAGGGTATTATTTAAGGGATTAAGCAATATTTACCGTTTTTGGCTATTGTCTACTGGTCCTGGACTCATGTCCACGTTCACACTCTGACATTTTACTGAACAGTGATGACGGAAAATGATATTTGTATTAAAATGGCCGTCTGTCCATCTGTATTGTATAGTCATTTTGTATAG